AGCACTGTGACACCGGGACAGGTGATGTGAGAGCTGAACCGGCTCCCAACTGACTACTTGGCGGGCCGCGTTTATAGCTGGACAGGACAGACAAGTTCAGCGACGGCAGGTAAATGCGACTGTAACTACGGAGGGATGGTGGCGGAGAGGAGTCCTCCTGCTCCTGGGAAAGTCAGGTGGGCCCTGAGCCTCACTTTGCGCATGTAACTTCCTGTGACTTGTGGACAGCACCAGCCAGCACTTCCTGAGTGTCTGGGCCCAGGTCATCCTCCTTGTGTCTGCACACAGCCGGCTGGCAAGGCAGAAACTACCATCAGCCCCACTGTACAGCGGGGAAGCTCAGAAAGGGTCTGCCACTTTCCTGAGGTCACTCAGTAAGGGGTGAGGCAGGAAGCAGCATCAGGGCAGGCTGAACCCCAATCTAGGCGCTGTGAGAAGAGGCAACAAGGAACGCTGAGTCCCCGCACCCCACCCCGCCTGCAGCTTCCCCTGGCTTTCAGCAGGGAGTCCTGGTCCTGGAAAGACACCCAAAGCCTAGCCAAGGACACTTTTCCAGAGAGAACAGAGACCAGTATCCAGGGCCCCAGACACTTCTCCTTTTTTATCTAAGAAAACATACCTGAAATGGGCCAATGCAAAAGCAATCATGCCTCTGACCGGACTTTAGGAAGAACTTCCAGATAAACTGAGCTGCAGAAGAAACACAAAACAAGGGTGCTTCAGAGTCTCTCTTCAGGGAGATTTTCAAAGGGGAGGGCTGATTGGAACACAAGCGCTGTGATTCCTGGACAGGCGATCTGACAGCCAAGCCCCTCACTAAGTAACTACTTGGTGAGCAGTGGTTCATGGATGGCTATGAGTCGGTGCCCACGTGGAGGGGAGGCGGGGCTGGAAAAGATGTCCTGAGTCCTCCCCTCCTGTGCCTTGAACAGAAAGCCCCTGCTGCCACACACATGTGAGATAAGCACAGCCAGGCTCTAGGGCCTCTTCCTCTGCAGGATCCCTCACGCCCCCACTCCCCTGTGCTCCCTCCCCTCTTAGCCTCCTGGGCCACAAAACAGCTATTTAATGAGTGGAGGCGCAGCGCTGATTGCACAGGTTTGTCTCCAGCAGGAGTGGGATGTAGCAATGCGGCTTGTGTATCCTGCTAAGAGATATTTAATAAATATGCAAATCACTGCCTCTACCTCCTCAGGCAGGTAAGGAGCAGGAACAGGCCAGAGCTAAGGCTTAAATCTGTGCAGAGTGTAAGGACTCGAGCCGAACTTCCTGGGAAGACGTCCATCTGGCATCTGCCAACCCCGGCTTTGGAGAGTAAAAGAGAGCAGGCAAGAAAGGCGTACTTAAGGGTGCGATTTCAAAAGGGTTATTTTACTTAGGGAGGCTGAGCATGATTCGTGCAGTGTGTGTGCCACGTGGACCCGCCTAGCCATCCACCACCGTCCCGTACGCACTCACCTCCAAGCCATCAGTCCACCCAGTCAGCCTTACAGCCATCCAACTGCTCACCCTCTCCCTGACCCGCTCTCTCTCATCTAAGGACCCAACCCTTGCCCTGTCGCACATCTGTCCATATAAATTCACTCAAACTCATCCACCCACCCACCCACTGAACTACTAAGCCACCATCCAACCATATGTCTGTCTGATCTAACCCATCTGGTTTTTATCTTTCTTTTCATCAGCCACCCATCTGTTCATGCATCTACCTATTTTTTCATCCATCCACTCATCCATAGACCCATCCATCCATCCATCCACGTTCTGTTTCCTGTGTGTAAACTCACATTCTAGAATCCGAAAATGCAGAAGCAATTGGACAGTGACCCTTCCTTTGAAGAGTCCAACAAACTCAATGAGATCAATCACGCAAGGTGACGAGTGATCAGGGGTACACACCTGTCCCCCATGGCTCAGGGGAGCACCGCATCCCAGTCTTCCTTCTGGGAAGATCGGGACATTTTCTGGAGAAGGTAGCGGGAAGATGTAGACTGGTTAGTCTTCTGCCTTCAGTCCAAAATTAGCTCAGTTTATGGCACATAGATTTCTTGAGCACTGGGGTAGTGAAACGAGCCAGTCATGATGCTTGCCCCCAAGACTGTGGTCTAGTAAAGGGGAGATCACACAGCATGGGGGCAGCAAGCGGGTGGCACGGTCCGCCTTGAATGCCCAGGGCTCAGTGAGAGGAGTGCGGGGGTGCTGCCAGCTAAGCCTGGCTCACTTTACTATGCACCTCTCGCCCGGCCTTTAGGTCACAGCTCATGGTGTCTCTGCCTTCACGCTCTGGAGTCTGGCCCAGGTTCACCATTGGGCTGAGCGGAAGCTACTGAGCTGTGGGGTGAAGGGTGCCTGCTCCTACTAGCCATCTCTTTGCCTGGCTCATTAACTTGGCAAGTCAGCACACAGCCCACTGAGGGTCTCGGCTGAAGAGCACGGGTTTTCAAGTCTGCCACACTTCGTTCCGAGTCTCTCCCTGCTCCTTACTAACGAGCCTCCCTCCCTACCTCACCCCCTAACGAGGGGAGAGCCACAGCCCTCAGGAGGGGCGGGGCTGTGTGACGGAGTAGAGCTGGGCGGGGAAGGCGCTTGGTGGCTGCTGCCAGCCCAGGCTCGTGCCGTGCTGGTGGGTGGCTGGGCTTGCACACAGCTGGCGCTGAGCGTCGTTCTGGAGGTGGCTCTGCACTGCCCTCCCCTCCCTTCCGCCTGCTTCAGCTAGGAAATGCAGCTCCTCCCGATGAGAGCCGAGGGACCTCCCTCTTTCACTGTTTGAGTCATTAATTCACACGCCAAATGCCAGGACCAGCAGTCTGCTCTGTCCAGTGACTAGGAGCCGTTCACCTCCAGTTCCCCAAGTGTGCAAGGCCCTGAAATGCCGTTCTTCCTGAAGCCCTCGCCCCTTTCCTCCCTCCTGCTTTGCAAGCTAAATGGAATTATATATATGTTTTGCCATCGTTTGCCTTAGATGGTGTCTCCCCAAGAATCATGGGTAATCTCAGATGCAAATGGCCTATGCAAATCCAGCTGCTGGTAAAATGAGGAGTAAGCCCGAGGCAGCCGCAGTGGCAGACTGTAACCGGGATCTCCACAGAGCCTCAATCTACACAGGTGAGCGAGGGACACCGGTGACGCAGCCCAAGCCTGGCCTATGCCTCGGGGCCGGCTGCTCTGTGCACAGGATTCTGTACCTGGGAGGGTCGGAGCGTCTTCCGGGCTTTTATGCCAACCCAGTGGTTCTCAACCAGGGGTAACTGTTCCCCGGGGCACACTTCCCAAGGTCTGGAGACGTTTTGGTTGTCAGGACTCGGTGTGGGCCATGGGCATCTGGTGGGCAGAGACCAGAGGTGCTGCCACACTTCCTGTGACACACACACAACAGCCCCACAACAGCTGCTGTGCCCAAAATGTCCATGGTACCAAGGCCAAGAAACCTTGTTCCAACCTGCTGTGTTCTGGACTCTTACAGGGTCCACGAGAGGAAGCGGAGGAGGAAGACTCGTTAGTTGCTTGGTCACCTTCACCTTGAAAGGAGCTGTGCAGCTCGAGTCCAACCTACACTCTTACCTTCGTGTTCGTGCACAGCCTCACTCTGGTCTCACTGTGTTCGATTTTCTCCCGTATCCCTGATCCTGTGCGCCCACGCTCACATCCCTAATATATGTCCTTAGATATGGATGCTTCCTGTAAAATATATGGTGTTTATCGTGTGAATGTGTTTTAATTTACATAAATTGTATTGGGCTATAGATCTCATTCTGCTGCTTAATTCTTTCACTTAACACTGTGTTTTTAGATCTACCTGCGTCGCTGTGCATAAATCTCATTTGAGATGCCTCTGAGTGCTGCGGTGGTTTCCAGAGAGACTCTTGCTAGGCTTCTGATGGGCACCGAGCTGCCTCCTTTCCCCCGCTGACGGCTGACCCCCGGGACGCACGAGGGGTCCCCCGGGGTGGGGGCGGGGTTAGAGGGTGTCCTACGTGTGTTTTAATTCTCCAAATACTGCCAGGTCTCCTCCAGACTCCAGCACTCCCGCATTGTCATCAGCACGCATCAGCCAGCTTCCTAACTGGCCCCACTCTGATCGTTATGAGGCGATGTAATGTTTTAATCTGGGGAATGAAAGAAGCGCTTTAAAAGCATTTTCTAAGAGCAGAAGGCATCTCGAGTGCACTTGTGGAGGGGGGGCTGTTCTTACAGCACCCACTTCCCTCTGAGACAACAGAAGGCCCCAGAGCTCCAGGCCACAGACTCAGCAGGCCACACCCCTCAGTCACCGGGGTCCTCACTAAGCCAGGACTGCCTGGCAGGGCTTCAGGGCAACAGAGATTCACCTCCTTCCCTCCAGAGCTGACGGAGTAGGGAGAGAGTGACCAGCCTGGAAATCCTCGACTAAATACCACTGTGCTCAGTTCTGCCCAAATGCGAGGGATGGCCGTAAGGCTGTGGGATGGGAGTGGGGAATCAGGACTTCCCGCGGGAGCACGGGGACCCGAGGGACAGCAAGACTCCCAGACAGCGGGGGAATGAATTGCGGGACTCCTAAGCCTCAGTCTCATGTATGAATGAAGGAACACACAGACCCGGCACCAGAGCACGTATGTAACATGTATGTAATCAGGGCACCATGAACATGGGCCAGGCACAGTGAGAGGAGCTGAAACAGGAAGCTGGAAAGTCAGGAGCCCTGAGCTCTAGGTGAGGAGAGGAGGCAGCCCTGTGCACGGAGACGTGCGGGGAGGCCAGGGCAATGGGGAGATGGGTGCACGAGGAGAGCCCCTCTTGCAGAGAGGTTCAGAGGCAGCCAGAGGCTGAGACCTGACGGGGGTTCAAGCCTGGAGGCCACCTCGGAGGTCGGGTGCTGGAGGAATGGGGAGCAGAACCAGCGCCTCTCTCCACCTAGCGGCCCCTCCACAGCAGGCCGGGGAGTCAGCAGTTCCAGGGTGGGTGGATGGATGGGAGTTGGGAAGGGGCGGGGCTTGCCTGGACCGTTGGTTCCTGTTTCTGGGCGCCCTCCTTCCCCAGCCCATTGAAAAGCTCCCAGGTGTTCTGCATCGCCTAGGGGCTCCTGGGCCCTGGGAAGTCAGAGGCTCTTCCTCCACCACCCGTCAGACCCGAGTTCCTTCCATCAGACCCGGCAACCTCAGGTCAGGACTTTCTGCCTCACAGACCGGGAGCTCAGTGGAGGGAGGCTTCCCCTCCTCTTCCAGACCAGGCACCTCTGGCCGGCAGCTTCCTCCCTGCCGACTTGCAGGACCTGGGCTTCTCCCACAGCACTGACAGGTCGCCGCGGCCCTCTTGGTGAGGTCCCATCCAGGCAGGAAGGTAGGGAGGTGCTGCTGGGTCAGGGCTCTGTCCTGCCCCTCCGCCGCAGGCCCCCAGGACACAGAATCTCAATAGTCTCCCGGCTTGATCCCGTTCTGGGCACAGAGAGGGTGCAACCACACAGAACACCCGTCTCCCTCCTTGTCTTGGAAGGGAACTCCAATCACCCAGCCTCTGAGAGGTCAAACTCTCTCTCTGAGCGCCCCAGAGGGCTGGGGGTAAAGGCCGCTTCCCTCCTCCTGTCCCTGCCCTGCTTCCTCTTCTCTCCACTGGGTCCAGAAAACAGCGCAGCCTCTCCCTTCAGGACCTGTACCCTCCCCTGCTCAGGGGTCTCCTGTGCCCCAGCAGTGGGTTCCGCAACAAGGCTGTGCACGCGGGCTCGTGCTTATCAGTGCAGCAGCTTGAGGCCATTCACCTTCAGAGACGATATGAAACGTGTTTAGGGACTGTGTGTTTCCTTTCAATATCAGCAAACTGTATTTCCAGGGAGAGAGAGCCGGAGCCACAGAGAAGGAATAAAGGGAAAAGTACCCAGGAAAAAGAGTGCAGCTGCAAGGTGGAGAGAGAGGGGACGCTTGCTTCCAAGAGTGGGTACAAAGGGCTGCTTGGCCACGTAGCTGAGTATCTCCAGTGGGCATGGCGTGTGGTGGGCGGGCTGGCTATGCCCAGATGAAAAGGCATGGAAAAATGGATGTTCCCAGCCTGCGGCAGAGACCCCACTTGGAGCTGAAGCTCACCTCTAGTCTCTCATGGGACCAGCAGTTAAGATTCCACGCCCTGGGTTCAGACAGCCCAGCACTGGGTGACTTCAGGTGTCCAGGTCATTTTCAAAATGAGGCGAGTCATGGCCCAGTCCTGGGGCTGGTGGGAGGATCCCATGGCCTGATGGGAAAAATGTGGTGAGCCATCGGCCAGTTTTGGAGGAGGCACCTTTGGGTGGGGTTGCTGGCTGTCACCTTAAGTCCCCAGGGCAGGGATGGACAGGCCAGTTTTGGGCATCAGGCCCTAAAATGTCCCCAGGATGAGCTCACATGCCCGGTCTTGGTTTCTGCTTTAGCCAAGCCCAGATGACAGCTTCAGCTCAAAGCTGTGCTGGGGTGGGAGGCAGGCCAGGCCAGGGACTCTGGGCTGGACAGTGTTACTGAGGACAGACTGTGCCTGGACGTGCTCGCCAGGGCCGTCTCTGTGTGTTCTCAGCACCATCCTGACAGGTAGGATGCGTGGCTCCCGGTTTGGGGTGACAGTCAGGGGACGGTCCCCAGGATGCAGAGGAACCCAGCCTTCTCCCCAGCTCCCTTCTCCGCCTCTCCAAGGCCTGCCCCTCCATGTGTATTTCACCTCATGTTTTGTGAACCCCCAAAGCCTGCGGGGACTGTTCTGGCTAAGCAAAGTGGGAGCCCTGAAAGGGGTGAATGGAACCCCGGGGGGGAAGGGAATGTTCCCCAAACCGCCGCAGTCCCTGCGTGGCATGAAGGTGACACCTGCCCCAGCTCTCCACAGCCTGTGGTGAGTTATGGGTCGTGGCTGATTCTGGGGGCAGAGGGCTTTGTCTCTGATTAGCTGCATGGTTGCTCCAGGGTAGGGGAAAAGGCAATTGCAGTTTTAGTGGTTTGCTGTCCAGAGTAGCTGAAATCTCTCACTGTCTCACCTCATCTGCATAGGACGTGACTCATCTCTCTCCATCTTGTCCATGCTGTATATGTTACCCACCCGGTACTCACTTACTAGCCTGTCCACAGGAAAAAATACAGTGTCAGCAGGATTCAGGACTCTCCAAGGCCTCAGGGTAAGGAGGCCATACTCAACTCTGTGGGAGGCAGGGTGGTTAACCTGAAGTACAAAGAGACCAGAGCCACTGACCATCCACCCCCAGACAGTTACAAGTGTTTAAAGGTTCCCGGCTGGGCAGAAAAGCTCGGGAGTTGTGCCAGGAGGGGCTGAGCCTGCTCTCTGCTCAGAGGAGCTGTGGGGAGGGGCGGGTTGTGGGTCAAAGGCCAGGTTAAAAGGTTTTGCTTTATCCCAGAGGCAATTTAAACAAAAAATTTCTGAGAATCTTTAAGTGGCACTTTAAACAAGTAGAGTTCCAGGAGTTGTCTAGAATAGTTGAGTGGCAAAGTTAGCATACGAAGACAGGATGAATAATTTTTAACATCAGCGTATCTCATGTAATACTCAATCATGCGATGTTTGGTGCATATTTATACTATAAAGTTGTTTATTTTTAAAATCTGGAATTCCAAGGTAACTCGCATCCTGTGTTTTTATCTAGTAACCCTAATGTGGCGGGGGGAGTAGGAAAAATATACTTTCTGGTATTTTAATCAGCATTTTAATGTGTTTAATTTTGTCATCTGTAATTTGTGGTAACCGTGCTGTTGCCTCTTGAGTTTCTATTCTAGCCACATGAAAACACATACGCCTGTCATTCTTTCACATACTCACGTCCTCTTTTCTCGTATCTACACAAATCAGACTCGTGCATTTGGTTATCCAACAAGTATATATCAAATACCCATTATTTGATATCCAGATATCCTTGGTTTTGTTTTGTTTGAGTCAAGGTCTCGCTGTATAGTCCAGGCTGGCTTTAAACTCCCTATGTAGCCCAGGCTGGCCTTGAACTCACAGCGATCCTCCTGCCTCAGCCTCCTGAGTGTTGGGATTACAGGGATGTGCCACCACACCTGACCAAATATCCATTATGTACCAAGCACCTTGCTAAGCTCCGGAAATGACCTTAAGAGAGTATCCAGCAGTGCCCCCAATTCTATTTCTGATTCTCAGATGCAGCTCTATTACCCTCTCTGTTTACCTTTGCAAAATATGTACAGCTGTATGGGTGTGACAAACACCAGCAGGGTACATCAAGGGGTCACAGGGAAGGGGGCTGTGACAGTAAACACCAAGGGCACCCTTGCCCCGCTGGCTCTGGTGTGTGATCGTGTGTGCACCCTCACTTCCTGTCAGAGAGCCTGTGAGCTAGACAGAGAGGCTGTGTGGCTTGCTCAGGGTCGTGCTGCTGAGACCCGGAAGTGCCTGTATCTGGCACCGGCAGGGCTTCCGACCACTCTGACTCCCAGGTCTTCATCCCTGCTCTCTTACTTGGCCCCTGGTGCCTGTGTCTTTCTTCCCGAAGTCCTCCCTAGGGCGGCCCCCCCTGTTAACAAAACAGGGCTTGGATGTTTACAGAGCCGGTGCCTTGGCCTCTGCCGGCTGGGTCACCCCAAAATGCAGCACTGCGGTTTTGCTACAGCAGGGTGACTGAGGGAGGATTTGGGTGTGTGGCTGTGAACAGACTGGATCCACTCCTCAGAGCCTGATACTTTGGGGGCCTAGAGCAAGATAAATACAGCTGGGGGAGTGGGTCTCCCAGAGCGAGGGCTTCTGGCCTCCCAGTTCTTGGGTGAGACATAGTGGGACGATCCGTTTGGAGAGGACAGTGGACATCCCTGCACAGCCAATTAAACCACTTTTAATGGCTTCGGAGAAATATGTTCAAGTTCCAAGCCAATCTCAAGACGTAGTGAAGCAGAGATAACCGGGGCTTTGGCCGTGTGAGATAAACTAGCAAAATCTGAACTGCAGGCAATCCTGCTTCACATTAAGAGAAGCGAAAATCAACACGAATCCAGGTCCTCCCCTCATTGCTGTTTGATGTGTGGTTACCCACAAGACAACGCTGCTGCTTCCCAGAGACAGCCTGGCGCAGAGGAGATACTGAGCAGGCAAAGGAGAGACAGAGGAGAATGAAGAGAAGAATGAATAGCTTGCCCGGAGGCTCTGATCACTACAGCCAGAGGCTGAGTGAGAGCTGATCAGGGGGTCCAATGAGGAAAGTGGACATTTGGGATTCCAAAGGAAGATATGGGTAGTATCCTTCATTTACGCATTGGTTTGTAAAATGCAACCCTAAGCAATTAATTTCCTAAGTGTTTATTTAAATTGTGTAAACTGGGACTCTGCTACCAGGGCAGGCGCCAGTAGGCTTGCCGGCCCGTGTGTGAGTCGGTGGTCCCGGATCCAGACATTGCTAGAAGAAGGGACAGGTAATGAGGCATAGGAAGCTGCCGATCTTGCTCTAGGCAGAGCCCAGGCAGGACCCATCTGTGGGTGGAGCTGTTTCCCTTAAGAGGAACTTGCAACCTAGGCAGATGCCTGCCAGTGTCCCGTCCGCGCCCCCACCTCCCACGCATGCGCACACCTTCCCCCCATACCTGCAGCTCTGGCAATGCCCCAGTTATAACTGTACTACTACCTCTGTGGTTTTTTGACCTCTCTTAGGACAATCTAGAAAGCTCTCTGGGCTTCTTTTTTCCACATCTCCCGAAAGTCCCAAATCACCTGGAGAGCTTGATAGAAGGCCAGGCCACTCTAACCACGATCATTTTCTTTCTCTTCTTCGGACACACTGAGCTACTTCTTACCTCAGGACCTTTGCATCTGCTGCTTTCACGGCCCAGAATCTCTTTCCTCAGCCCCTTTCCATATTGCAAAGTTCACCTTTAAGTTGTGCTCTTCAGACAGGTTCACCCTACGCTAGCGGCCTTGTGTCGCACCAGCCTGTTGAGTTTCTTCTGAGCCCTATGGCAGTGTGAACTTGTCTTGTTGAGATTCACGCCCCTGTGGAGGATCCTTGAAGGCAGGCAGTCAACCCCCAAAAATGCACATCACACCCCTGGCACTCAGTAAATATTCCCTGAAAGAAACGAATGCGTGAATTGTGACGAGAGTCACAATAGTATTCACTGAGCTAGAGCACGCTGGACACTGCCCAGGCACCCACATGCATTCGCTTACTGACTCCTCGCCACTGCCCCATTTC